GTTTCTGGTGTTTTGTAAATAATTATTTCTTTAATGAAATTTATAATTTCAGATTGACAAAATATTAAAACTTCAATACGTTTTTCAGGTGAAAATGCAGCCTAAACTTCCAAAAATACACACACACATATAAATTGTTGAATCAATATTGTGAGAATCAAATTCTTTGTTAAGATTGCAATGTGACAAACCTCGAATGATTCATTAGCAATACGTGCAACATCTTTACTTTGATCAAACATTGAGATTATCCATACACCAATAATTTCTTTGAGAACGGGTGCAAGTTTCTTTTTAGCTTTTGAAATCATGGATAAATGACAAGAGAATGTAGCATAGCGTATTCTACGATCAACATCAAATGCAGTTTTTACAAATAATTTTGCCTAACAATAATAACAATAATATTAATTTGATTATTTGATTATCATCGTAACCAAAAGTACATATATATATGTGTGTGTGTGTGTGTAAATTACCCAAGCATCCATTATGCTAACGAAAACATCATCTTTTTCAATTTTATTTTTTAAATATGACTCGAGATCATCCAAAGCTTTTAATTTAGTGGTGGAATCACGTTTTGACAATCTTTTCAGTATTATAACTAATTCTGAGTCTAAGTTTACATCATTCACATTATCAGAATTTAGTTCAGCAGAATTCACATTTGTGAAAGCAGAAGCTCCTATAAATTGTGAAAAGCCTCCTAAATTGCTTACAGAAGTTTGATTTCCTTTTGCAGCTATAACCTCGGCAGCTCGACTAATTATTATTATGGAAATTCAAATATTTTCAAATGCTTGTTTAAATTGGTTCAATTATTGTATAATAAATTTACCTGCTACTGGCAGGCTGAACATTTCCTTTAATACGAGGTTGATTTTTTGGTCTTCCCATGGTTTTTTTTCTTTTGTGACGCTAAAAAAATTATAGATTTATAATACGCAGCCGATGATCATAATTAAATTTTAATTATCGTCAAAATGTCATCTTCGAGACGTAGAGGTCGTTCATCCTCTTTAGAAGATTTTCGCTCTT